CCCCCCCCCCAAAAAAGAAACAAAACTAAAAAGACCCCAAACAAAACAACAGAAAACAACAACACCAAACTATTTGCTTTAACTTAAGGGTTTTTTTGTTGAATTAGACCTAAGGTTCACCTGGAGACACCTGACATAAGGCACTTGAACATGCTGTGTGATATCTTACTTTCCCAAATACTTTGTTCACCTGCAACAATTTATGTCCCCACAGCCTGCCTTCATCTCCACTACCATGAGAAGCTTAGTATCATCAGCAAATTTTATTACTTCATTTCTCTCATCCTTTTTCTTTCCTGTTTTAATTGAGTGAAGAGGTTAAACAGATACAACACCAGAGAATTGTAATGGTGGTTTCTTTTAATGTGAAAACTGACAATTTACTCTTTTTCTTCCTACTTTTATGCAATGATGTATTCATACAAAGCCTCCTATTTTTTGCTGCTCTGAATTCTTGGGTGGCAAAAGCAGTGGGACGTCAGTGAGAGCTTTTGGAAACACATGTAGATTATGTGAACTAGATCCTGCTAATGTGGATGAATTTTTGGTTCTTTTAAGAAATTATCTTATGTCGTGCGCAGAACTTTCCTTGTCAAATGCCATGTTGATTCTTCCCCCAAATATTATGTTTATCCACGTATCCATTATGTTTCTTATTTTTTCTACTAATTTGTACATCAAACACGTCGAGCTGGTATTGCACTGCCCTCCCTTCACCTTCCTTTCGCTGCCCCCAGTATACCCATGTTGTCACTTGTTAAAAAAATGAAGCTTTAAAGGCTTAAAGGCATTCCAGTTTCTTCTGTCTTGTTTCTTAGTCACCTGGTGTTCATGCAGAAGCATGTCTACTACTGTTTGTTTTTCTGAACCCCTTATTTTATTTGTTCTGTTTTCCTCTTTTGACTCTTGTTAAACTCTGCTTTAGCTTTTAATAAAAAAAAGAGAATTATTGGGTGGGCTTTGGTTTGTTGTTGTTGTTGGGGTTTTTTTAAACCATTGTGTTCTTTGGCACTTTTAGGCTTCTCCCTATTCCTCATTTTGAAAACTAGCATCTGACTTTGATTTCAATAGGATGCAGTGCCACTATATGTTAAATTAATTCTGTTCTTTCTGAATATTCTTTGTTCCAGAAGCAGCACTAGTTTCCAAAAATCCATCCTTCTTATTCCTTTGTCTGTGACGTCTTAAATTTTGAAGACAGCATTTAGCCTTGGTCAGATGATACTGCTGCTTGGTCAAATTCATATATTTATTTTTTAAATTGTTACAAATATGCTTCATAGTTTGCAGTGCAGGCTACAAATATTCATGGCATCAGTAGGTTTGTGTAGAGCTCAAGAACTTCTACTGGTAACAGTAGAAGAATATTATTTGAAATATTCTCTTTGAGATATGCATTTTGTTGGTAGTTAGAATTTTTATGCTGCGATGTTGCATAAGCCTTCTGGAGTTTGTAATACACGGCTGAGCAACCTACTGGTGAGCTGCAGAACCAGGGAAAAATGTAGGTTGTGCTAACGTATTTGTGGTGAAGGCATGTTGTTTGGAAATACCTGTCATATTCTTGATAAAAGACAGACTTGCAGTGACTTGCAGTATTGCTGATCTTCATAGTATCTGAAGAAAATTAATAGATGTAGAGTTCTTACAGGGTCTTTATCTGTTGTTTTTGTATTCTCACATTCAGAGAATTGCTGTTAACTCATTCTCTGCTCATGGAAAATTGCATAAGTAGCACATTGCGGCCTTTGTCATAGTAAAAGATAAGATAGTTACAGTGTGTACTCTACCAAAGTAGAGAAATTAAAAAAGCAGAAATAGAAATTAATGATGTTATTAGAACTGCCATGAAGAGTCTTTAGAAGGTGTGTGTCTTCCAGAAGTCTGTTTCTCATTATTATTTGTTACCACACTGTGGGAGAATTATCATTTCTAGATGATTATTTGTTTATGGTGTATATATAAAACCTTTGCAGAACACACATTTCCTGGTGTTGGAAGAACATTTATTATGAATTTGTGTATATGTAAGTTGTCTTTTGCAGGAGGAAAAAAAGGAAATAGGACACCTTTTATAGGTGTCCTATAAAAGTAAATCTTCAGTAGTATTTATACAAAGAAATTTTTATACAAAATGAGCATTAATTGTATATAGACAATTAATATATGTAGAAAAATATCCATTATATATAAATTATGCTTTGGTGAAACACAGTGTAAGGATGTAATGCCAGTGATGTTCCAAAGCATACTAGTCTGTGGTTCTTGCTGTTTTCAAAGTCTTCTAGTTAGATCAAGCCATGGCATGGATGGGTGGGAGTTCTTCCTCATGCTTGTTTCTCCAGTTTGAGAAAGATTCACTCACACCTAATTCATCCCAAAAGACTGGTAAGCTTTAGTTTTTCTCTTTGTGCTCGTAAGTTAGCTCAAAATTCATTACTTAGTAGTTGCCCACCTTTTCTTTGGTTTATAGATTTCTGTCTTCTCTTGAACCTTCTAATGAAGTCTTGCACAATTAAAAGTGAAAGTCTATGTTGCTTATCTTCCCACTTGACCCCTCAAGAGAGTTGGTCAGTCTTACAAACTATGAATATTGGATGAGATTTCAAGCATCCGTTTATGCCTAAACTCTGCAATTCAGATTAGTTATCCCTGCAGAAAAGTGTTAGATTGGAGGATCTGGTTCTTTTTTTCACCTTAAAAATAACATCTGTTTCTTCCTGAATTATTGCAACCTATGAAGATCACTGGAACTGGCAGGTAGCTTGTTTTGATATTATATCCTTCATAAGTCACAATGAACTAGGGATCAATATAGAGAGAAGGATCTCTTGCAAGTTAAACTTTAAAAATTGCTTAAAATCTGTTCTAAAGATGGGCTTTCTTTGGAGAGAATCTTCTCAGTTTAGTAACTCAGGAAGAACTTTGACTAGTGGGTAAATAAGCATCATTGCTACTTATTTAGGGGAACATAAATTCTGATTAAAAAAATAGGTTTAGAGTCTTACATTTGCCCTTGCAGTGCTGCTTTAAAGTCACGGCAGTCTTAGAAGGATCCTGTTACGTTATTTTTTGTTCCCCACTCCAATTTGGAAAATCTCTTAAGACTATAGAATATTTTTCCTTTGTCTTCAGCAATGTTTTGTCCTTTGTTTTTAATTAATTAGAGGGTTAAAATGAACAAAATAATTCCAGTGATATGCCAGTTTTCCTACTGAAATCTGTGGTTTGTTTTTTTTCTATTTTTCAACTTGTAGACATACAATTTTGGAAGATATTTATTACAGATTACAGGTACGATTTGTTTGATTCTGCTATTCAATAAATATTTGTATGAAGAGATAATTGAGCTAGTGAGACTATGAAAAATGAGTTCTACTTAAATCAATGGATTTAGCGTTAAAAGATATTCAAGTGGCAGGAAAGCATGGTGGTTTAGTTCTGCTGTTCTTTCATAATAAAGTTACATTTTACACAATAAAGAGTATTAAGGCCCATTATAAATGTAACCAAAGATGATGTGTGAGATTTACTTGAATACATTATTTTTAGCTACTCTGTAGTTGAAGGCCAAATGATATTTGTAAGTAACATAAAAACTATTCACATGAAGAAAAATATTTTTTTAAAATGTTGGAAAGTACTTGGAGACATTGCAAGATGTTTGATTAGTATTCATGGCATAAAAGGAAATTATTTTCAGGGTAAAGGAATTTGTGAAAAGATAATTGGTTAGACCAACATTCTCATTAACCTAATTTGCATTAAATGTGCTACTGTGAATTGTAGTTATTGCTTTTCCATTTGAAAGGCATGCTTTGTTAACTTATTTAAAGACCCTAGTTAAACTACAGTTTAAGTTATACCCTTTAATTCAGCAATACAATATCAAACTGTTGTAACCAACTTTGAAAGTGTGGAGAATCATAAATCAATTCTTGATCCCAGTGGATTTTCCTGATGAAGCAGGTTTGTTTAGCTGCTTTGCATCTGGTCCTTCCCAGATAGTGAAAGCATTCGACTAATCCTGTAATTTTACTCCTTTATTAAGAGCAGAGGAAACTCTTTACTTCCTCTGTGACACAGCATGAGAAATAACTGGAGGAGTCTTGGGGATACTGGAAGAAAATACATATGCCTTGGCTCTAATAGTATGAAGAATTTTGAGGATCACTTAGGTTTTTTTTCAATAAAAGTTCTTTACATATGTAACTCAATTGAGCCTTTAAAATATGAGCTGTTAAAACATAAATTAATTTGCTCATTTTCATATCCATTTCAAAATCATGAATTTGGATTTCCTTAATTTGAGCATTAGTTATCACTTATTAGCAGTATTCTAGATACATTGAAACAAAAGGATTTGTTTACTGTTGTGCTGTGTACAGTGAAGAGGGAGGCACCTTTGTCAGCAGTAACTGTGACTGCCCAAGTTAAGTATTTGCATTTGCAGATAGATACATGAAGACAGGATCTTATTTTTCCACACTGCTGAGCGTACCGAGCCATCATGAGACCCAGTGATTGTGATTTATGTGAACTAAACATTTATAAAATTGGGCTGCTGCTTAGATATTTAAATGTTAATTTCAGTGCTTGATTTAATTGTTTTTACTTGTACTGTTTGACACTGGTTGGTTTCAAAATACTAATATCTGGAGGTATTGAACGTAAACCAAAGCCTAGCTGATCAGTTAAGGTCAGCCCCAGTGATGCTGTATAATGTTGGATAATGCAAACTTAGGCTGGACATGGTAATGGTCATAGATACCTATATAAATACTCAGCTGAGAAGGTCACTTTCTTGCTGGAACAGTTTTGAAGATGGTGGTGATGGACATGCCGGGTACACAGTGTGATTAGTATGAGTACCTTGCATACCCAATGGTCATACATAAAATGCAATGAATTAGAAATGCACTTTAGATATTTAAAAAAAAAAAAAAAAGCCATGGCAAATAAATTTTACCTTCCAGTTTAGAGATAGTTAGGTCTCCCTTTTTTATTGTTTGGCAAAGAAATATGCCAGTTACTGTGCTGTTTTGCTGCTTATTCTTTCTGTTTGCAGAAGAGAAGCTGGCTGTTGGTTGTACTATTGAGTAAAATAGCTGAAAGGCTGAACCCCCCCTATGTTTTGGGACAGGCAAACAATGGAAAAGAAGCCAATTTCAGAGACAGCACATCATACGTTTTGATTTTTGTGTGCAGGATTAAGGGCACGATTCAGGAGTAGTCAAAGGTATGAATGGCAGTGAGGCTGTTGAGAGCCAAAGGGAAGTTCGGTGCTCAGGTGTTGGTCATGCCACTGAAAACTTCCTCTAGCACATTCATTCTCTATTAGAGGTTGGGAAAGAATGAGCTGTTGCTTCTCAACTACCTGCTGGACTAAATCCCAGCGATTTATAGGTGATCTGCAATTCTCAGGATCAAGTTTCATCTCCTTCACACAGTAATTCAATGTGGGATTGTGTGGTGGGTTTTTTTTTTTCCAATAGAGCTGCTGAAACAGCTGTTTGTTCTCTAACTGCCTACATCCCATACTCTGCATCAGCAACACTTTTGCTTTTTGTTACACTCAACCTTTGGCCTTCGTCTTGCAACCCTAATCTTTCATGTTTCCTGTGTCACAGACCTTCTAATTTTTTTAATTTCCTGAAGTTCTTTTGTGTTTTTTTCAGGGAGTAATTGAATAGGATTGTCTTTCTCTGCTTGAGGGTAGGAGAGCCCTGCAGAGGGACCTGGACAGACTGGATCGATGGGCTTAGGTCAATTTTATGACGTTTAACAAGGCCAAGTGCTGGATCTTGCATTTAGATCACAACAACCCCAGGCAGTGCTACAGGCTTGGGGGTGAGGGGAAAGCTGCCTGGGGGAAAAGGACCTGGGGGTGGTTATCGACAGCAGCTGAATATGAGCCAGCAGTGTGCCCAGGTGGCCAAGGCGGCCAACAGCATCCTGGCCTGCATCAGGAACAGTGTGGCCAGCAAGACCAAGGAAGCGATTGTTCCCCTGTACTGGGCACTGGCGAGGCCGCACCTCGAATCCTCTGTTCAGTTTTGGGCCCCTCACTACAAGAAGGACATTGAGGTGCTGGAGTGTGTCCAGAGAAGGGCAACAGAGCTGGGGAAGGGTCTGGAGCACAAGTCCTGTGAGGAGCGGCTGAGGGAGCTGGGGCTGTTCAGCCTGGAGAAGAGGAGGCTGAGGGGAGACCTGATGGCTCTCTACAGCTCCCTGAAAGGAGGTTGTAGTGAGGCAGGTGCTGGTCTGTTCTCCCGTGTAACTGGTGATAGGACAAGAGGAAATGGCCTCAAGTTGCATCAAGGGAGGTTTAGATTGGATATTAGGAAAAACGTCGTCACTGAAAGAGTGATCAGGCATTGGAACATCCTGCCCAAGGAAGTGGTGGAGTCACAATCCCTGGAGGAGTTGTAGGAATGTGTAGACGTGGCACTTCAGGACATGGGTTAGCGGGTATAATGGTGTTGGGTTGATGGTTGGACTAGATGATCTTACAGGTCTTTTCCAACCTTAGTGATTCTGTGATATCTGTGATTCTCAACCCAGCATGGTGCTGCAATAGAAATACCATATCTAGAACATAATAATGACCCAAGTCCCTCTGTGGTAAGAATTAGTTTCTACTGTCTTGGAGGACTGTGTTAGGAGGTTAGAAGATCCTATAGCTAAGGTTATATATGTAGCTTAATTAGCTACATTTAAGGTTTCTTTTAATTCAGCCCCTTAGGCATATAAATTGGGAGTTTGGGGTTCAGTGACTTTTTGATGACATGCTGAAGTAGTGACTACCTCAAGGAAGAGAGAATCTGGAGAATTTAACTACCAGACAAGAAGTTTTTACTTGGCCTATACAAACTGATTTTAGGACATTTGTAATCACTTTTAAGAGAGATTTGCATGTTGATAAGAGAATACAGCACATTTGAGGCTCTTTTTAAAAAATGTGCTCTGTGCATATTCCTAGTTTGTTGTCCAAATTGGACTTCACAGTGAAAATCCTGCCTGTTGACATGGCACCTAGTACCTCCTTAGTCAGTTCTGAATTTGTTGCGCCTTCCTCAGCACTGTTTTGCAAATAAGAGATTAAAAGATTTCCCTATAGAATTTTAGAAGTTTAATATCATGAGTGCAATCAGCATTAAATTTTAAGGCAGGTTTGCTGGAGACATGATGTTTATTGCTTGCGTTTACTTCTGTAGGGTTGGGAACTTTGGAGAGAGCTTGTTAATTTTTGTTTGTAATTTTTTTTTTTTTAGGAGATTCCTGTACACAGTTCCGATTTGCTGATGAGAAAGAATGGGATAGAGAAAGCATATGCCATAAGCAGGTAACATAATTATCATTCAAATGAGTTTGTATGGATGATCACCTGGCACAGAATACCTAGGCAGCTGGGCTTTCAGCAGCAAATGTTTAATACAATGGTAGCAGTCTTTAGTCTGTGTATTTTTATTAATTTGTCTCTGATGCTGAAGGCTCCTGAGTCTTGTCCTTTTTTCTACTGAAGATTAACTAAAGCATCAGGCTAGGTTTTGTTCTTTTTGGAAGAAAAGCACAAGCAAGTCCATCCGGTGAAAGGAAAATAAGGGACTGTCACTTTGCTGACATATCAAGTCAGTTTTCCTTTGTAAGCTGTATGCAAGAAAGGATAGTTTAGTGAAATGATTATAACGAAACCTATATGAGTATATTCATATATTTCACTGTGAAGCTTGTTCTGGTTCTTTCAAACAATTCATATCCTCTGCTTGAAACTTCACTTCCATAGTGACTATGGGACCAACTAGCTTTTAGATTATTTGTATGTTGATTCTTTATGCTGGAATAAAAAGGGGCAAAGCAGTAGGAGTCTACTGCCTTCTATATCAGGATACTGGAAAGTCTCTTAATCTCTGCGGCCGTCTTCCTCATGTAAATCACCTAAATTATTGCAAGATAATTGCTTTTTGTCTTCCGAGCTTTTCTTAAAATTGCTGCAAAACTGTGCTTGAGTGTTTCTTGAAACATGCATATGTAGTCAAATTTAAAGTCTGTTATTTATTTCCTGAAATACCAAGAATTATTATTGCCTGGAAAGTGGTATTTAAAGGTACATTAAAGTTGCAAAGTCAAATTAAAATGAGGAAATATACACAAGTGCAGCATGTGTTTAAACCATCATATGTTTGTTCAGTGGAGTAAGTCTTTCAATGTGTGTGGGTTTTTTTTCTTATCAGTTCCTTCCGCTCCTGGTGTGCAGTTGTTAGTATCAAGAATATGAATTTGTCAGTAATTTCCTCATAGGCTTGTCATTATTGCATTCAGGTGATTTGAGGACATTAATTAATTTCTCAGTGGTAAAGCCATTGTGAGCAGAGTGAAGTTGCACATTGCCAGTGGATTTCACAATTACTCTTCTGACTGCCTGTGCTGGGTTGACCCTGGCTGGAGGCCGGGTGTTTGCCAAAGCCCCTCTGTCACTGCCCTCCTCAGCCGGCCTGGGGGGAGACAGTATCAGGAAAGGGTCGTGGGTTGAGACAAGGACAGGGAGGGATCGCTCACAGGTTAGCTATGGGCAAAACAGGCTGAAGTTGGGGAAAATTTAATTGATTACGAATCATATCAGAGTAAAAGAAAGCTAAAACCAAATCTTAAAACACTTTCCCCCCACCCCTTGTTCCTTCCTGGGCTTAGCTCTGCTCCCCATTTCTCTCTGTCCTCCCCCTCAGCAGCACAGAGGGACAGGCAATGTGGGTTGTGGTCAGTCCATCACACGCTGTCTGTGCTGTGCCTTCCTCCTCAGGGGAGGGATCCTCACACTCTGCCCCTGCTCCAGCGTGGGTCCCTCCCACAGGGTGCCGTCCTTCAGGAGCAGCCTGCTCCAGCCTGGGTCCTGCTCCAGCCTGGGTCCTGCTCCAGCCTGGGTCCCCGCTGGGGTCACAAGTCCTTCCAGCAAACCTGCTCCAGCCTGGGCTCCTCTCTCCATGGGGACACAGATCCTGTCAGGAGCCTGCTCCAGTGTGGGCTTCCCACAGGGTCACAGACTCCTTCAGGCATCTTACT